GTCTCCTTCACATGTGGACTTTTCATTTTATGGTTATGCAACTTTCCTCCTTACATCCAAAGTCAGTATCTCTTCATTTTTGTATTATTTTACAAGTTGAGTCTAATCCTTCTTTACTGCCCGTTGTCACAAACCATCACTTATTCTCACCTTAGGAAAGAGATGTCCAAGTAGTTACAACTCAGTGTTTGATGATAAGCATCAAGTCACCTTAGCCCATATTCTACCTTTATTCTAAAGAGTTCTCAGAAGAGGGACTAGAGAGATGGCTTGGCCGTTAAGAGCACTGGTTGCTCTTGCAGAAGACCCGGGTTCGGTTCCCAGCATCTATATGGCGGCTAACAACTGTCTATAACTCCAGTTCCAGGGGATCTGACACCCTCTTCTGACCTCTGCGGGCACTGCACAACATGGATGTTCTAACACTCATACACATAAAATTTTAAAAATAGATAAATTTTTAAAAGTTTTCTGAACAGATCTTCTTAATCTTGTCATAAGCTCCAGTCTGACATCTAAATACCCTTCATTTCCATATTGTAGGTCCATTTATCTAGTTATCTCTAGACCAAAATCTCGTCTTCTTGGTATGATCTCCTTTTAGAGACTTACCATTTCTGATTCTCCCATAATGTGCTTTGTAGTATTATAAAGTGTCATTATTTGCTTATTATTAAGAATTGGCATGCAATACAAAAATGAATAAGCATGCTTAAAGATTGAGAGAATTACAGGGCATCTATGGAGAGAAATAAAAGATAAACTTTAATAATATATATTACATGTAATATAATAAATATACCAGACAAAAACACAAGGGATATCTCAGCAAGGCGTGGTGGTGCACACCTTTAATCTTAGCACTTTGAGGGCAAAGGAAGGTGGATTTCTGTGATATCAGGGCCAGCCTGATCTATATAGGAAGCTCCAAATCAGCTGGGACTATAGGGAAACCCTGTCTCAAAAAACAAAACAAAACAACAACAAAAAAAAACCAACCAACCAACCAACCAACCAACCAACCTACCTACCTACCAACCAACCAACCAACCAACTACCACCACCACCACCACCACCACCAAGAACAACCAACCAACACAACCACCAATGAAAAACATACCAAACAATACCTACAACAACAACAAAAACCCAACCAACAACAACTACAAGAGACAGTTCAAACTACACATGATGAAATTCACAGAGATTAACTACTCATAATTATTTCCATGGGTCCTAGTAAGGACAGATTAATGGTTATAGTCACAGAGGAGGTGCTAGTTCATCTGGGTACAACAGCATGAGTAAAACTGGGGTTAAGGGGAAGAAGAGGAAGCAAAGTTATGGATTCCATCAGGTACCAAGTAAATGTGTAAAGCAAAAAACATTAGGAGAAATATGAACAAATGTGTGAAACAGAACTAGCACTATGTCAGGATGAAATATTTGCACTTTCATCTATCTTACCATTCTGACAACATATTTAAAAAAGAAAATAGGACATTCAATCATATACTCAGATGAAATGTATAGACCCATCATCAATGATAAATCTTAACGTACTAATTATATTAATGAACTATTACTTTACTTTTGGGAATCTAATCTTGGCCACTGGAATAGGTAGGAAACAAGTACTACAGTTTTGTTTGTTTTACTTTCAATGTCACCTCACCAAAAAAACTCAAGCAATGTACTTTAACAGTGTAGGATTTATTTAAAGTGAGTAATTGTTACTTAGGATTTCAATTGTGGTCCTACCACTTTATTCAAGATTTATTGAGAAGACTCTGTTCTACAAATGGATATTATGATAGGTCTCCTCTTGGGTCAGAGCACACTGCATTGAGCAAAAGAGACTGTATGCCCCATAGCTCATGTGACCTTCACCCAGTCTCCTCATCTATAAATAAGGATCAGTATTAGTAGTTCTATTAAGCAAGAAAACTATATATTACCTAATAGTTTATAAGTGGTTAAAAATCAGTCTTTATTGTAGGTCTGGTGAGATCATTCAGCAGATCAAGGTACCCATGTAAGATTGAAAATCCGAGTTTAACCACAGGACCCACATGGTAGAAGACAACCTACTCCTGAAAGTTGTTCTCTGACCTCCACATGCATGCCATGGCATCCCACGCATGTGCACTCACACAGACAACACACATAAAATAATAATACCAAAAGAATGCATTCAAATGATTTCTAAAAAAGCACTTTTAAAGGGTTTTCTATTCATGTTTTTTATAAATATTTTAGTTATTATTTATTATTTTTATTTCTCATGTGTAGGAGTATATTGTCTGCATGTATTTAAGTGTACTCATGTCAGGCAATGCCCATGGAGGTCAGAAGAGGGAGTTGGATCCTCTGGCTTCAATCTACAGACTGTTGCTAGCTGTCATGTGGGTGCTGGGAACTGAACCCTGGTCTTCTGCAAGACAGCCAGCAACCTTAACCACTGAGCCATCTCTCCAGTCACTATTCATTTTTAATGACAGACAAATACTGTAAAGGCACAAAAACTCAATAAAAAATTATACATTAAAAATAAATAATAAAA